CTGGCATTTTTGTTGAAAACTGGGAGACTATATAAATAAACGTCTATTAATGGGGTCTCCATTCTATTCCATCCGTTTGTGGGTCATTTTGCCCCTATCATACTGTCTTGATTACTGGAGCTTTATGGCAAATCTTAAGTCAGGAAGTTTAAGCCCTCCTACTTGGTTTTTCTCTTAAGGGATTTCTTTGGATATTCTAGGTTCTTTGAATTTCTATATAAATTTTGGAACCTACTTACCAATTTTTGTTTTAAAAATCTGAGATTTTGATTGTAATTGAGTTACTGTGCTAAGTATACAGATCAATTTGAGAAGAAATGACATCCTAACAGTACTGAGTCTTCCAATCAGTGAGGATGATGTATCTCTCCATTTACTGAGGTTTTAATTTTCTTTATAGTGTTTTATAGTTTTTAGTGTAGAGTCTTATATATCTTTTGCTAAATTTGTTCTTAAATATTTTGTTTTAGATGGTATTATAAGTGGACTTGTTTTAAATTTAATTTTCCAATTGTTGGCTAAAAATATAAATGTTATTAATGTAATAATCTAGTACTACTTTAAATTCATTTATTAGTTACCGTCATTTCATAGATTCTTTAGGATTTTCTGTATATGCAGTTATGTCATCTGCAAATAGTTTTTTTCTTCTTTTATACAGTTACGTCTTTCATTTCTTTATCTTGCCCATTGCGCTTTCTAGAATCACCAAGACAGTGTTGAATAAAAGTGATGAGATAAAGTATCCTTGTCTTATTTTGTGCTCCTAAGGGGAAAGTATTTAATAATTTACCATTAAGGATGGTCATTAGCTGCAGATTTTTCATCAGATGGAAGATGCTCTCATCCATTTCTGAGGGTTTTTTTTCCTTTAATCGTGAATGGATATTGAACCTTGTCAAATGCTTCTTCAGAACCTATTAAAACAATCATGTGGGTTTCCTTCTTTTTTTCTATTAACTTGGAAATTACCTTTTTTTACTTTTTGTTTACTAACAGGGTGGTTGATTTTGATCAACATTAAACCAATCTTGAATTTCTTAGATAAACCCAACTTAAAAATACATTCTTCTTTTCATACATGTTTAATTTATACTTGCTAATATTTTGTTCAGAATATGTGTGTTTATGAGGGTTACTGATTTGTACTTTTCTTCCTATTTTTTGTTTTTGTTAATGTTTTTGTAGGGTTTTGGTATTAATGTTAGATCGGACTCATGAAGTAATTGGAGTGTTTATCCCTCCTTTGTTTTCTTTTTTTTTTTAAGATTTTATTTATTCATTAGAGAGCGAGAGCGACAGAGAGGGCACAAGCAGGGGGAAGGGCAGAGGGAGAGGAAGAAGCAGACTCCAGGCTGAGCTGGGAGCCGACACGGGCTTGATCCCAGGACCTGGAGGTCATGACCCAAGCCGAAGGCAGACACTCGACCATTTTAGCCACCCAGGGGCCCCCTTCCTTTGTTTTCTGGAAGAATTTAGGTGACATTTATACTACTTTTTTTCTACAATATTTGAATTCAACACTAAAACTATCTGGGCCAGACATCAAAAGTCTTTTTGATATTAATTCAATGACTTTAACAGATACAGGATTATTTAGATTTTCTGTTATCTGTGCCAATTTTGAAAGTTTTTCATCTACAGAAGTCCCATTGGATCTTTTTCTCATAACTTTGGTTTTTCTCCTCATTTCATTCATGCTTTCTTCTACCTTCTCAAACATATGGTACATATTTATAATTGCAGTTTTAATATCTTTTTCTGTTATTTCTATTACCTCTGTCATTTCTTTCTTTCTTTCTTTAGAGAGGGACACAGCACACGAGGGGCAGAGGGAGAGAGACAATCTTAAGCGGGCTCCATGCCCAATACAGAGCCCGACACAGGACTTGATCCGACGACCTTGAGATCATGACCTGAGTCGATATCAAGAGTGGGACCCTGAACCAATTGAGCCACCTAGGCACCCCTCATCTCTGTCATTTCTGGGTCTGTTTCTTTGATGATTTTTCTACTGATTATGGGTCATATTTTCCTGTTTTTTTAAACTCAAATTTTTTAATTGAAGTGTAGTTGACATATGATATTATGTTATTTTCAGGTGTACAACATAGTGATTTAACGATTCGGTATGTTATGAAATGCTCACCACAGTAAGTATAGTTACCATCTGTCACCATGTGTTATTACAATCTTATGGACTATGTCCTCTATGGTGCACTTTTCACTCCTATGACTTACTTATTTGATAACTAGAAGTTTGTCCCTCTTTACCCCTTTCACCTATTTTGCCCATCCCCCATCTTCCTCCCCAGTGAATTCTCTGTATTTATGAGTTTTCTGTATTTATGGGTCTGTTTCTGTTGTTACTGCGTTGTTTGTATTTTCTTGTTTCTTTGCATGACTAGAAAGTTTTGATTGGATGTTGGACATTTTAAATTTAACATTGTTGGGTGCTGAATTTTGTTGTTTCAGTATTGTTGAGTGTTGTTCGGGGATGCAGTTTAGTTTCTTGTAATTAGTGTAATCTCTTCAAAGCTTGCTTTAAAACCCTGTGATGTGGGCTCAGGACAGCCTTTAGTCTAGGGATAATTTATTCCTATTACCAAGGCAGTACCCTTTTGAGGACTTTACTGATGCTCACGTAGTAGGAGCTCTTTCGACTCAGGCTGGGGAAAGTATGACCTGTTCTCAGCCCCATGTGAGCTCCATGGATTGTGCTCCTTTACAATGGCTCTTTCTCTGGCCTCTGGTACATTCCCCATATACATGAACAGATAAGTATCAGCCACATTTTCAAGGGTGCATTTCTTCATATTTCTGGAGCTCCTTCTTCATTGGTTTTAAAACCAGAAATTCGAATCTTCCCAAATCCTAAATTCTTCCCAAATGCCAAATTCTGTCTCCTCAATTCAGGGGGACCACTAAGCTCTGTTTGGACTCTGCTTCCTGCTCTGTCACGAGCAGACTCTCTCCAGGTAATAATGTGGGGAAGTCTTCGGGCTCATCTTATCTGATTCCCTTCTCTCAAATAAATGGTTGGTGGGATTTCTGTCCTGAGCTGAAATGTCCAGCATCTAATCCGAATTGGCAGCCATGCAAAGAAACAAGAAAATATGACTCATAGCCATTGTTCCACATATTTTGAACAATATATTTTTGCATCTTTTTGTTTTAGATAGGAGGGTAAATCTAGCCTCTATTGCTCCATCCTGGCTGAACAGAAGTCTCTGTGGGTTTTGATCGTAGTTTTCAGCCGTACCATCCTGTTACTATGGCTAAAGGTCATAGAACAAGAAACTCACAATGTGGCATTTCTTCCGAATTGTGTCTCCCTTCCAAAATCTGCTTGTTTTAATTGACTCTCAGAGCCTCTGGGTAGTTGTTTGGTATTTTGTATGTATTCAATGATTATTCTATTCAAGAGGTTGGTCTGTTGAGAGGTGAAACCAAATTTTATCTTTTCTTAAAAAAATGCAATTTACTTAATCCTTAATATATCCCCATTAATACTGCCAACCAATGTGAAAACATCCTCTCATCCTCTGGTTCATGGTCTGGTTCTTCCTAGGCTGGACCCAGTCTATGTCTAAACTGTGAACACTTCTCAGTAAGTAAATCATGACACCTTCCTTTCCACCAGCTGGTCAGTTGCCTATCTGTTTCCTGACCTTCGCTCGCCCTTAGACCACTTGGCACATAGTCCCACCTGAAAGGAGCTTTGAGCATTCTGTGATGGAAGCAGCTTTTAAGATATAATACAACAATAATTCATATTATTAATTCATTAAGTAAGTTCTCAGGCATTCTGTAGGTGTTAGAGATAAAGTTGAAAATCAAGGTTTCTGTTCTCAGATCGTTTGATTGTAGGTCAGAAGAGCGAACAGGTGGCATAAAGCATCAGGAAACATGTGTGAAAGAAAGTATAACACACTTAGGTAATTGTTATAAGGCTCCTAATGACGTCCAGTGTGGATTTAAGGGAAGCATTGTACAAATCGGCCTCGGGGGGCAGGGGCGCTGCATAGGGCTGTGTAGGCACAGGACGGTGCTAGTGGCACCGATCCCCGCCCCCCCTTGGATAATAGTCCCTGCACAACAGTCCACCATATGGCCTTGGAAGAATGCAGAAAATCCTCAGGAGACAATTTCGAAGAAAGACTTGAAGTATGAATACTCATTTACCAACAATGATAGCATAAATTAATATTTGGATGGCTGATTGTGACCTATAAAACCCCGTCCCTCCACACCCAGCTGACATGCCGTTTCACGAGGCGGCTCCCAGCGCGTGAAGGCTGACCCCTGAGGACCCTGCCCTTTCAACTCAGTAAGACTCATTCTCCCTTATTCCAAACGTTCCAAGTGCTTAGCTCCCTCACTTTCTGAGCCACAGACTGGCTTCTGGGGACTTTTGACTCCTTCAGTTGGGCCACCCTTCCTTCCTGGATTTTGGGTTCACATCATCTGGGGTTTGGGCTGCTTGTAGCACAAGTGGGAGATGCTCCTTCCACCTGTCCAGGGAGCTCAGGAGGCTCCGTCACCACCGTAGGGCTGTGGAATCCAGACACACGTGGTTGTTAGTGGCTATTGGTTACAATACCGATACTCTTTTATTTTTTTTTTAAAGATTTTATTTATTTGACAGAGAGAGAGATCACAAGTAGGCAGACAGGCAGGCAGAGGGAGAGGGAGAAGCAGACTCCCCGCTGAGCATGGAGCCCAATGTGGGGCTTGATCCCAGGACGCTGGGATCATGACCTGAGCCGAAGGGAGATGCTTAACCGAATGAGCCACCCAGGCGCCCCGATACCGGTACTCTTATTTCTGGGTAGAAACTGAAGGTCAGAGAAGGGAGGCCATCAACCCAGGTCACAGGATAATTAAATCATGGAATTGGGGTGTGGACTTTGGGTCTTGGACTTGGACGCTGTGGTCTTTCTACCCCACACCCGTGGTCTTTCCGGAAGTTGATTTCACTCCTTTTTATTCACATCCAGGCCATGTATCACCTGGGAGTCACCTGCTCGAATGCTGGTTGCAGCTCTTCCCCATCTTCCTGATCCCGTATTTTGTGAGTATCCTGCACCACCCTGCCCTTCCCCTTATCTGGCCCCAAGGCATCTAGCTTTTGTGTTTTGTTTAGTTTTGTTTTCAATCCACTTGAAAATTTTCCTCAAGGCTACATAGTAATGTACATTTCTGTCCTCTCAAAGAGCTCTATGGAAGTTAGGGCACGCTTGTATAGTTAACCTGATCATCTTGAGCTGCCTGTCTGGGGTCCTTTTCCACACGGGCAACTGCCTCATTGTGTCTTGGAACATTTAGCTCAGATGGCAACCGTTAAATCACCACCAATAATATAAGCATAAACAAGTCTATAATTTACCCAATTACTAATGTCTCAATTTTTGAAAATAATTTTTGGACAGATGGTTCATTAAAATGTAGTTGAAAACATTAAAAGTGTTACAGACACATAATGAAATATATAGATAATGCTTCGATGTCATGTTTGAAAAGACCGTCCCCCCGCGGCTAGGGAAAAAGGCAGAAGTTTTTGTTTCTAAGCAAAAAGGAAAGGGAAGATTTCATAATTATGTTCATGTAATTAAGTTTTGGGTTTGTCCATGTATTTCAAACCTTATAATAAGACAAGTTATGTAAAAGTGATTATTGCAAACCTTTACCATCCCCTCAGGATATTAAGAACAGTCCTCAAATTTTATATAGACAAATCTGTTCTTTTGTGATTTATTCCATTTTTTATGCTTAAAAAGTTATTCCCCACCCGAGTCAGATAAATATTCAGCTATATTTTCTTTTTGTTGTTATGACTTCATTTTTTACAATGAAGATTTTTAATTATCCCTAATTAGCTTTGTGTATTTGGGAAGTGAGACTTTAAACTGTCTCTCCCCCGCCACAGAGGGCCAGTTTCCCCACACAGTCATTAACTCATCTATCTCTTTGTAACTGCTGTTCAGTCTTTCTCTACTATATTTTCAGTCCATCTGTATTTTCTGCAGATATTCCGTGGAGGGCTCTCTCCCCCTGACTTATGTGCACATCTTTGCCTCACAGCTGCTCTGCTCTCATCAACGTGCCTCTCAAGTGCAAGTTATAGCTGAGATAACATACTGTTCTGTTATTCTTTTTGTTCTTTCTTTGGTTAGTTTTAAACTCTTTTTTTCTTTTAAAGAGTTTATTCATTTATTTGAGAGTGACAGCATGGGCTGGGGGGGGAACGGTTGCTCAAGGAGAAGCAGACTCCCCGCTGAGCCAGAAGCCCACATAGGACTCCATCCCAGGACCCTGAGATCGTGACCTGAGCCAAAGGCAGACACTTAACTGACTGAGCCACCCGGGTGCCCGTTAAATATATACACAAGTATATACCCAGTACAGGCATGAATACACATCTGCGTATATAACCAAGGGCATGCCCAGTACATGCCCAGTACAAGCCCAGTACACACCCAGTACACTCAGTACGTGCTCAGTACACACGCAGTGCATACCCAGTACACCCCCAGTACATGCTCAGTGCACCCCCAGTGCACCCCCAGTACATGCTCAGTGCACCCCAGTGCACCCCCAGTACATGCTCAGTGCACCCCCAGTACATGCTCAGTGCACCCCAGTGCTCCCCCAGTACATGCTCAGTGCACCCCCAGTGCACCCCCAGTACATGCTCAGTGCACCCGCAGTGCACCCCTAGTACATGCTCAGTGCACCCCCAGTGCACTCCCAAGCACACGCCCAGCACACCCCCAGGCCTCTGCACTTGCTGTCCGCCTGGACCGCTTCCTCCCAGGTGGCCGAGTGACTGAGCTCTCTCACCACCTCCAATGTGTGCACGACTTTGCTCCCTGCGCGGACCTCCGGCAGCTCTGCCTAGAACCCCACACCCTGCCTGGCATTCCCGGTCCTCCCTCCTGATCGTTACGGACATACTACATGGGACTGACTGTTTCTTGTTGGCCTCCTCCAACCACAATGTGATCTAGACTGGGATTTTTGTCTTCTTGGTCCAGATTTTTCTACCCAGGCCATATGGAAAGGCACCTGGGCACAGAAACAAGCACTGTGAACAAATTTTAAAATAATTGGTTTAGAGACATTCTGTCATTAATTTGTATTCTGTCGGTAATGATGAGCAAGGCCTATCTTGCCTCCTGCTCGGAGTGGCTTTGCCCACCGATCGTTATTACTGAGGGAACCTAACCGATAAGGACAAACGGGTGGAGGGACAGGGGCTGAAGGAAAGGGGCTGCAGTTCCCCCCAGTTTCTGGAGGGCACTGGGACTCTGGTGGGCATCCGGGGAGAGCACCCTCGCCTCGGCACTCCCTGCCCTCACTCTGCGCTGGGACGGGAGGCTCTGCAGGTTTCCGTGAGCGGCGAGTGTGGCTCCCCTGGGTGCCAGTTAGCTACGGGAGCAGTCCTTGTGGTCCATACTCACGTCCCAGGGCCCGCTGACTTTGTGGTGGTCGGGGAGGGAGAACCGTGGGCTCACACGGGTCCTGCTGGCCTCAGTGGAAATGTCCTGGCCAGACCCTCCGACCCCTCACCTGCATCACTTCCGTGTGTGGCTCCGTCCCCTGGATGGTCAGTGACACCTGATCCAGAGGTCAGGAGAAATGATCTCTCTCTTTGGACTTTTCGAGTTCATTTAGAAATTATTACTAAGAGAGAGCAAAGATTTACATGCCTGAGGGACCAGCACGCGGCAATGCGGAGGACAATGCACGAGCGCCAGTCAGAAAACATCTATTTTTACTGGAGAAGAAAAAAGTCAAGCCGAGCTTTCTCAGCTGACGAAGTGCCAACCTCAAAACTGCGGTATTCAGCTGGGTGGAAGAAAAACATATTCCAAACACAAGACAAAAGGCTGTTTTTAAAGAAAATCAAGCTGGATAACAAAAACTCTGGCTGAAGTAAACAAATGGGAGGCTATTTGGCTTGTTTGAAATAGCGAAGACTTCAGTGTTTTTATACCAAAGGAATCCAGGTCTGTGAAAACACATAATGAAGTGAAATCACTGGAGAAATTGGGGATTGTTCTCAGGCCACCACTCGGGGCCCCAGGTGGGTCAGCTTAGGCCTACAAAGACAGGGGATGTCGATTTAAATAACCACGACGATTTTCACCTCATTGTGGGCGCTGTACTCGGGGGACCGAAGAGAACAGCTGGGAAGAACAGCACAAAGTAATTTTCCTTCATTATCAGGGGCATCCGCACTCCTGCAGCTCCACACGTAATTTTCTTATTCAGCAAGTCCACGAAGCCTGACTGCTGGGAGGTCACGTCCACGGCACGGCTGACCTCCCACGGATCATGAGGAAGACCTCATTCGGTAGAAATGACCTCATAAGTAGAAAACTCAGCTGTGCAGAACAGTCGTATTTCTTTAACTCTAGTGAATTCTGAGACCAACTCCCAATCACTGCAGACCCCCGGTTGTGCAGTGATTATATAACCCCACTGGGGTCCACGCTGGGCACCCACTCTCCCGTCCACCTGCTCCTTCCCGGTCCAGCTGCTGTGTGCATCACGGGGAAGCTGCGTGGAGGCAGCAGGTGCAGAAGGGCCTGGCTGGGAGCTGCAGGGGGCTGGGGGTGCACTGAGGACTAACGGGGTTCCTCATGCCGTGAATCCCTGACACCCGCTCTTGCTTAGACCAGAGGATCACCCCCACTGGCCGGCTGCCCCCGCCTGACCCAGAAGCTCCATCCGCCTTCTCTGCAGTCACAGGCCACAAGCCTCTCATCAGAGGGTGGGAAGAGGGGGTATAAAGATTTATGAGAAAAAGGTGTTTGGTCATTCAGATGATTAAATATATATTTCTCAGGTGTCTGTAGTCTTTGTCCACAGTTCCTGAAAACACTCAGAGCCCTGAGGCAATATGGGTGTCTTGTGATTAATGAAGGTGACCTTTGGACGTGCCCAAGGGTGCGGCTGGTGCCTGGAAGAGGGCGTCATTCTTCTCCCTGTGACTGGAGGGTTGGAGTACTCAGTCCCACCTCAAGCCCTACCCCCAACCCCACTCCAGAGAGGGGAGAGGAGCTGGAGTGTGAATCCGCCAAGGGCCAGTGACTTAGTCAATCATAACTGTGTAGTGAATCCTCTCTAAAAACTCAAGAGGACAGCTTTCGGGGTCCTTTTTTTCTGGACAGCGTCCATGCTTGGGGAACCGTAACATTTCCACTCACCACTGAGCCAGGCCCCAAGCTCCATGCAGACAGAAGCTCCTTTGTGCACGACCCAACCCTACATATCTCTTCATCTGGCTGCTGATTTGCATCCTTTATCACATCCTTCAATAAACTCGCAAACCGGAGTTTCCGTGAGTTCTGTGAGCCACTCGAGTGCATTCATGGAACCTAAAAAGGAGGTCCTGAAAACCCCCAGTCTGTATCCTGTGGGTCAGAAGCACAGGTAACAGCCTGGGCCTTGCACCTGGAGACCCCGGCTGCATTGGGGGTCCGGGCGGTCTTGTAGGACTGAGCCTCAGCTGTGGGATCTGATGCTGGGTAGACCCTGCCAGAACCGGCTTTCGATCTGCAGACTCCCAGCTGCTGTCTGAGAGTGGCTTGGTGTTGTGTGTGTGTGTTTCCGTGTGTGTTTGCGTGTGTGTGTGTTGGGGGGGGTGGATTGGGTCCAGGAACTCAAAGAGGAGGGGTCCCTTCGGGGCCTGGGGGGAAGAACAGAATGGACTTTTCCCAAGACTTTTTATCCTTACAAGAGATACACGCTACTTCATTCCCAAAATTAGTCTGAGAATTCAAACTTAGGTTAAATTATTATTTTTTTAAAGATATTTATTTATTTATTTGAGAGAGTGAGTGTGCATGTGTGAGCTCGGGGAGGGGCAGAGGGAGAGGGAGAGAGAATCTCAAGCAGACTCCCCACTCAGCACGGGGTCCGATGTGGGGCTTGATCTCACACCCTGGAGTTCATGATCTGAGCCAAAACCAAGAGTCAGAGGCTTAACTGACTCAGTTAAATTATTCTTAATAAATAGCCCAGTAATAACAAAAGAAGCATTTGCTTAAAAAAAAATGCCTTGCTATGATGATTCCTTTACCAGTATTCTCATTAATAGAGTCAATACTGATCTCACAGATTCTACAGTTAAAACTAGGGCAAAAAATCACCATTCTGTCCTTACACCACTTCGGCAAAAAATCAGTAATCAAAGCGCTCAGATCAAGGCACAGATCCCTCTGGTCCTACACACGTTTTTTGTCTCCCTCTGCCACGCCTGATCCTCTGCAGCCTCAAATATTCCTTTGTTTAGCTAAGACTTGACCAAAGACTACATGTGAACTAAGCACTTTGCTTGACCTCAGAGACGCCAGGGAGAAGACAGCACAAGACGTCCTGCCCTTGTGGAGCGAAGGACGCGGGAGTCACCTGCTGGAAAGCTGTTCTGCTTGGACAGTCCACGAACCAAGTCAAGGGGGAAAGACCCCTGGACAATTCTGTAACCTTCACTCTTTCCCGGAAATCACCGTGTCACATGCGGGCACGTGCACACACGCACCATGTTGTTGATACCTTGTCAAACTCCCTTAGTGACTAATCAATTATCATTTATTAGGCACTAAGCTTGTTCAGCTCTGTGTTGGGTGTTTTGGTGAAGGCAGCGTTGTCTTCTGGGATTGTCAGTGCCTTGTTTCCTGTTGGTAAACACTCTACCACGGCTCACAAAGGGGCGCCAGAGACGACCCTCCTTTTCTTTTATGATGGAGAATCCCACACTGCTGTCATTATTATTCTATAACTGTGACTATTATAATGTACTTCGAATAATTTCACCAGGAGTAGATATTTGATTCCATAGGTTATTTGGAAGATTTCTATAAATACTGTGTTTTTAGTGATTGTTTATATTCTAAGAAAGTAACTAGCACGGTTTTAAGAATTCATCAAGTACTATTCATACATATGCATAATTTTCTAAGGTCAGTAAAAATTACGACTGGTTCCAGTTCCTTCCAAAGCCTAGTACTGAGTTGAGGACAGAACGGTCTTCTAAGTTTCACTATTTATAGTCTTTCGTTTTTTTTATGGATAAGTTTGTTGCCTTTTTCCATTCTTAACC